CAATTTTAGTCATAGTGGTCAAGGTAACATTATAATGAGTATGAAGTTTTCGGAAACAATTGGAAAATTATTATCAACCTCTTTAATTCTCACTATTTGCTTCAGAATGAAAAATCAAAATCGCCCTTTCCTTAATTATTATTTCATTAGTTGTTTTGCATACTATGACTAAAATAACTCATTTTCTGTTGAAAATAAATGTACAGGGTTACTTATGACGTAATATTTTTCTAAAATTGCAATGAGAAAGACGAGGAGGAAGAGCTTCTCGAGTAGTAGGTATGTATACCTAACTTGTAAAGAAAAAAATAATCAGCCAACATAAATGAGAAAATTAGAATGGGCCTTTGCCTCATTTTGTCTCAACCCTGCACAATTCGATTCTTGAGGAGTTGGTGGCCAACTTTAAAGTAGAGAAATACAAAAAAAATGCACCTGAAAGAAATATGGCTATCGAGATTCAGTTTTTGTTTTTTTTTTCGATTCGTGCTTCATGTTCGCAACCTTTTGTGTTATATACAGGATGTTGATGAATAAGTGCGGAAGAATGTAGGTGATCCTTTGTCATATATTATGAAAAAAAGTGCATCCAAACATTTTTGTCCTAACATTTTCGTTTCAGAGATATACCGGGTTTCGATCGATGTTTTCAAAAAATCATTCTTTATCAATTACTCTCAAATCAATTTCTATGAAACTTCGTCGTTCCGTCAAGAATAATATGGATCTTCTTTTGGAGTGATTAGATTGTAAATAATATTTGCAGTGGTGTTACAGTATCAGAGTTTTATATTTTAATTAGATTGAACAATCGAAAATAAGATATTGCGGTATACTTTTGTATTTCCCTTAGGAAACAATGAAACATCGATTTGACTCCAGATTCCAATATAGGTGATTTCAAGACATTCACTATCCCAGATTTTTTTGGGATTTTCTCTCCTCGTTTCTATAAAATAAAAATATGAATATTATTTCAATATACGTGTAGTAGTAAGAACAAATCAGATGATTTGCCCCAAAATGTCACTGCGTTTAAAGAATTATTCTATCAGAGAGTTTAAAAGAAAAATTCACTAGCTTTCAAGACACCCATTTAAGATTTCTCAATAACCTCAAAAAGGTACCATCCTGAAATTTTGAGCCCATGACAGTCACCAAGCAGACTAAATTTTGCCACCATGCTCATAAGAGGGATCATAAAGAAAACAATTGATACTTCTAACTTAGGACACCTGCCTATACGAACTTTTCTCGTTAAAATATCAAATGACTTTCTGACTTATTAAACTACACCCTGTATACATAAATATATGTGTGTGTGCGATGTTCAGTTGTTCGGAGTATATTGTAACGGGTCTGGCATCGTGCACAAAACGATGCTATCTCAACGTTAGTTATGGGCCACAGAATGCCTACTCTTCGCTAACCAGGATTAATGCCCTTATTATTTGAACCCGGCGCGATGCGTTTCCGCCAAACTGTGTTACATTTTATTTTATTTTTTTTTGCTCGCTGCATGCTCCGATAGCGCATGGGATACTGAAACCTGTTATCTTCGGCATAGTTTCGTCTTGTAAAACAACGAGACCCTACAGGGCGACCGATCCAGAAGGTATCCTTCTTACACGGAAAAAACAAACCAAAAGCCAAATACAAAGTGCAGAAGAAACGGCCGGGGCTGTAATTTCTGAATCATTCGAGATCGGTTTTTGAAAATTGGTGTGGTGGCAAGTATACCAAATTGCTCATTAATTGACAGAACAATTTTTGTTCAAGCACTTCCAGTTTCACCAGAATTGGGTTTGCCAATAGGCCGTATAGGCCGAGGCCTAGGGGCCAGCATTCGCTTTGGTAATCGTGGATACAACAAACTAATAAGGTTACGTTATCTTCTTTTCTCAAAATCTAGCAACAAATCTCCATACACAAACGTTCCTTCTCGGGCGGTAAAATATCTTCATCATTATTGGATCCTTCTACGTTTTCGAGGAATCAATTTCTATGAACGTCTACCCGAACTCAGACATAGCTTCCTGCATAGCGCTTTGCACTCCGGCCACAAATTATCCTGGAGTATTTCATGTTTAAAACGATTGAAGTAGTACCAAAGTTCTTCACTTCTTCACTATATAAAAAAAAACGAACTCTCCGCCTCTCTATGCGTAGATGTAGAAATAACGAACACAAAAGACTATATATGATGATATTTTTGATTATATGCGAAAAAAAAATTCGTAAAAAAATTTAATTCTCGTTCTTTTATTTTCCAATGCTGAAATTGCGCAACCTCCTTTTCAACACAATATTGAAAACAATAAACACAAAGAAGCTTGATTTGTAGGAAAATTAGTCTTGTTCAAGACTAGGTACTTGAAGTTGTTGAAGATGCTCATCGTTTTTTCTCGCTAGATCACTTGTTGAAGTTATTCTGGCATTAATGAATTCGAGGAAGATGCAGAAGACAAAGAGATGAATATTATAAAAGATCTCAGTGAACAGTTTTTTTTTTTTTTAATTTTGCGTCAATTTTTTTTCATGGTTCTCAACTAATAACTTGCAGAGAAATTCAATAAACATGTTGAAATTGTGATTTTTCGAGCTTCGGTTCCCAGGAGGGTATACGTATTTCGACAACGGAGTTGCCATCTTCAGTTGAACTGAAAAGGAAATAAAGATTAGCTGGTTAATCATGTAATTTCTGGAAAATATCTCAAAAATCAGCTAATTTTAATTTTTTCGTCAGTTCTACTGAGGAAGTATATGGGCTTTTATAAACATCAATTTAGAATTTTGGGTATATTTTGTAGGTATTCGACCACAGTCTCCAAAACTCAACATTAATGGCTAAAAGGTTTTTTTGCGTCGACAAATTATTTGTGTTTGAAATATTTTAGTTGGATTGAGCAAATTCTTGTTGTATCAACCAGATACCCTCGCAGATACCTACCTATTCATTTCAACGAAAAAAGTTGTTCTACATAGTAGACATATGTCATTGGATTAACGCAATATTTAATTGAATCAATATCTTGTTATTTTGAATCAAACAAAATAATTATTGAAGCCAAGTCAACATCTTTTTCTAGACAATTCATCAATGTGTGATTTACTAAAATCCAGAGTTTACGCAAGAAATATCTAAGTACTTGGTTCAAATTTCAAAGTCGCAATGGACAAAGATAATAATTTTTATCATTTCAAGATTAAATTTTGTCGTGCCCAAATGATACTTTTATTTGCTTGATTACCTTTTTCCCGTATATACATTCCGCAAGTAATGAAAATGGATGTCCTAATCGAAAAGTTTTCAGAACGTCTTGAACGTCCAAACTAAGACGGGTGTCCCTCGATATCAGTAACATGTTTTTAAGCAACCAGAAGAGGTCTCTTGAAAAACGATGTTGTTTGAGGATTTATAAAAAGTGGACCATCTGAATTCTTCAATATTCAATTTTTCTTTTAAATCCATTACTCAAAGTTAATCAGTTTTGAATTTATTTGATGCTTCCCGGGCAGACTCGATTGGATTTGGGCCACCCTGTACTTGCGACGTACTCGTATCTTCTCAGAGGATCTTCTATCCAAAATTGGTTTTATGTGCTTTACGAAATGGATGAGGGCGGGGAACTGTTTGAGCCAAGTTGAGAACTTTTATCAGTTTGGTCTTTGTCGATGCATTAACTTTAAATAAGTACTCGGACGCGAGAACCAATGTTGTTATTATTATGCGGTGCGATTATTTTCGCAGGCAACTAGACTGAAAATGATTTATTAGAATTTTCAAGGCACAGCTAATTATGGTGTTCCTTTGGAGAAAAAAAAACATCTCGAGTTACCTAAAGGTACATGTATACCAATTCATGAACACTTATGTGATTCCAGACATTATTTATGGGAATAACAATAATTTGTAACCGGATATAGGCTGCCTTAAATAAAACCAGAAAATATCGTCATACCAACAGAAAAAGGAATATGAGCTATTTTGAAAACATGAAAGCTATATTTAGCAACAGGGTGAGTGAAACTCGAAGTTCCAGCTCTGAAAAAAATGGGAAAGCGATATAAAGACAAAATTTGAAAAGTTTCTCGAAAGGGATTCGTCAGGTTCATTTTGAACAATTTTGAACTAAATTTGTTTGTTTTACCATATTTGAAAACTGAATTAAGGACATCATTAATTCTTATAACCGGAAACATAACTATTTTTTGGCATATTTGAAAAGAGCCTATTTTTCTGAACAAATTTAGCGAAAACGGAAAGTGACAAAAAGAAAACAAAGAAAAAGGAAATGAAGAAAAGCATTTCGAAATGGAGTCATATTATTATAATTTTTTAATGAAAGAAGACAGCAAAGTTTTTCACAAACATCTGTTTTTCAGAAACATGCACACTTTTTGAATGTACTAAAATTGTTTCCGAGAAGAAATAATTCGATGACGTCATTACATCAGCTGTCAATTAATTATCAAGGAATATGCAAATTCATCTTGAAATAGAACCTAGTAAATCACATTGAAAAGCCTCATTTCCGATTTTTTCTATCGTTTTTCTTGATTTTCTCATAACAGAACTGAAAAATCGAGTTTCACCTTGTATACTCATGCAAAACGACTAGAGAATACCGTCAAAATATTCAAAGCTGAACTGTTATTTCAAATGTAATTTGCAAACTAAAAAAAATGCATTTTTTTACCCATCGAATAACCTACACACTTTTTAGCATCCTTTTACACGTTAATATTTCCCCCGCTCCTCAATAACTAGAATCAAAAGTGGAGTTCGCAATTTTGTTTTTCCTTTCATCATTTAGGTACTCATCCTCGTACTTATCATAGAAATTGTGACCTCTGCTTTCCCTAACCTCATAAATATTTTGATGTCATCTGAATGGTCTCCTTATTTTTTGTGTAACCAACATGACATTTTCATTATTTCAAGGAATGCCATCTTTGTTCCCTCTCAACGCCCGCCGAAATTCCCGATTCTAACTTACCCCTTAGTTGTTTCATATGCGCCACCGCCATCCTCAGTATGGTGAGCTTGTCCGGCTTCCGGGCGAGGGCGCTGCATGTCGGCACCATGTCTGACAGTTCCGTAATGTAGGCCGTCATCTTGTTCCGCCGCCTCCTCTCGATCTCGCAATGGTTCTCCCTACTGGAAGTCGAAACATTATATTTACACGGTGTTCCAGATTGTCATTTTGAACATATTATTACGAAAACGAATGCACTCAGGAAATAAGTCATTTCAAATCAGGACAGTAAGCATTTCATCTTGTTCCGCCGCCTCCTTTCGATCTCGCAATGGTTCTCCCTACTGGAAGTCGAAACATTATATTTACACGGTGTTCCAGATTGTCATTTTGAACATATTATTACGAAAACGAATGCACTCAGGAAGTAAGTCATTTCAAATCAGGACAGTAAGCATTTCATCTTGTTCCGCCGCCTCCTTTCGATCTCGCAATGGTTCTCCCTACTGGAAGTCGAAACATTATAATTTACACGGTGTTCCAGATTGTCATTTTAAACATATTATTACGAAAACGAATGCACTCAGGAAGTAAGTCATTTCAAATCAGGACAGTAAGCATTTCATCTTGTTCCGCCGCCTCCTTTCGATCTCGCAATGGTTCTCCCTACTGGAAGTCGCAAAAATATATATTTACACGGTGTTCCAGATTGTCATTTTGAACTTATTATTACGAAAACGAATGCACTCAGGAAGTAAGTCATTTCAAATTAGGACAGTAAGCATTTCATTTTGTTCCGCCGCCTCCTTTCGATCTCGCAATGGTTCTCCCTACTGAAAGTCGCAAAAAAATATGTTTACACGGTGTTTCAGATTGTCATTTGGTATGAGTGCGGGGACCGAATTTAGTATCACTAGAACTAGAACGAATGCCCTTAGGAAGTAGAAGGTTGTTTCAAATTAGGACAGTAAGCATTTCATCTTGTTCCACGCCTCCTCTCGATCTCGCAATGGTTCTCCCTATACTGGAAGTGGAAACATCATATTTACACGGTGTTCCAGATTGTCATTTTGAAATTATTATTACAAAAACGAATGCACTTAGGAGGACAGTAAGCATTTCATCTTGTTCCACCGTCTCCTCTACATCTCGCAGTGGTTTTCCCTACTGGAAGTCGCAAAAATATATATTTACACGGTGTTTCAGATTGTCATTTGGAATGAATGCTGGGACTCAACCAAATTTATTATTACGAAAACTAATGCATTTATGATGTAGAAGGTCGTTTCAAATTAAGACAGTAAGCATTTCATCTTCTTCCGCCGCCTCCTCTCAATCTCGCAATGCTTCTCCCTACTGGAAGTCGAATCATTATATTAACACGGTGTTCCAGATTGTCAGTTTGAACTTATTATTACGAAAACGAATGCACTTAGGAAGTAAGTCATCTCCAGTTTGGACAGTAAGCATTTCATCTTGTTCCACCGTCTCCTCTACATCTCGCAATGGTTCAAGACAGTGCATAAGCATTTCGTTGTATGAAGTATATTGAAACATCTTTATCAAGTGTTCACAAGGCATTGATAGAATGTTATACTGAGCAAAATAATAATAAATGCATTAGTACAGAGCGATTGAGAGAACAAAATCAGTTCACCATCAGAAAGGTCCAAATTAGGAAGCAGAAATCAAAACAAACGGTGGAGATTGGCAAATGAAGCACAATTATTCTATGAAATTCTGGAAGTAATATCGGATTATAATACTACAATAAAAGATGAATCACTCGTGAAAAATGAGAGATGTCAAAAATCCAAGAATTATGTAAATTACCGCTGTATTTTCAAGCAGCTATATTATTATTTAGTAATTAGATTGTGTGTGGCTATAAAAACTGTAACACGACTATTTAATGTTTTTTGTCTGACCGTTAATAATAAAATCAATTTCGTATAAATATATTTAATCGAGTGAATAAAAAATAAAAGCTCCTCGCTATCATTAAATATTGTGAAACATTCTCAAAGCAATTTCGTTCGTAATAATTGATCTAACTTTTCCATACCACAGAAGAACTCGTTTTTGTGAAGACTCACTGTGGGAGAGTGGTTTTCGTGTTGAGATTTTTGCCAATGCTAATAATATAATATTGTTGAATAAATTTCAATTTGTAATTTCGTTGAGCCGCTACTCAAAATACCGCATTATATGGTTAATACACAGCAATTTCTTCCTTGAACCCATAATTTGAAAAAAAAGTGAGATATTTTGTGCTATGGGAACTGGAACACTATGGAACATGGAGCGAACACAACACACACTTTTCAAATCTTTCACATGCCTGAATTATCTGAATGGATGTCCATGTTGAAATAGCTCTGTGAATGTTTTCTACGTATGTTTAACATACTTTCATGGTTTTGCGTCTAGTATTTTCAGGTTCCTTTTAATATTGATAAACTCCACCTCTACTTTCGAAATGTTTCTTATAAAAAAAATTGAAACAAAACGGTCAACAGAGAAGATGTACTAGGTACTAACACAATACAATCCCTCAGGGGCTCACAACTTGTGAGTACGGGAATGGTGAACCCGAGGTACCCTAGCCCAATATTCACCAAACTCCAACTTGTGATATCCTCTTCTCTCTTCCCTTTGAAGCATTTTGGGACCATCTCTGCTATCTCCGGGCCAGATGGGACAATTATTTGTGGATACCTGTGGCAAAGATGGGGGCGATTTGCTGATACTTGTCTATAGGTGGCCAAGGACTGGTCTACGAGGCTCTTGCAACCTAATCCAATCTGTAGGAACCCTTGGCCATGGTTGAATGGCACCGACGTATGGTGTATTTAACGACGCCTCTGGAAATCAGGGCGACATCTCAGATGAGGAGAAGGAACACTTTTGGCCTTCTTCGTAGACGAGAACAGGGATCGGAAGAGTAATCTTCAAGAACCTGAACGAGAAGATTCTTTCATATTGAAGTGGCCCTTGATGAGCACCATGAGTAGTATATGGTTAAATTGATAACGGCATGTCAGTAAGATAGAATGGACCACTAGGTGTCGTGGGAGACATCAGTCAGACAGGATGGAGTGTTTAGTGTTTATACCTTGAACTGAGGAGGGGAATCCCATCCTATAAAATGGGGATTAGACCCAAATGATGTCCATTTTCAGGATTTTCGACGAAAAAAAAAACAATACATACCTTCATCATTTCGAAATTACTTCAATGATTGGACTTCAATAGAGAAATCGATTCAAATTTGCTCTAGTTTTCCATAGACTAGGGCATATAATTAATCAATTTTGTTGGTATTGTGAAGCTCTCAAGTCATCAATTGAAACATGGATGGTGTCAAGCGAATGACTGAAATGTGTCTAGATAAGTGCAACATACTAAAGACATTTAAATTTACAACCAATCAAATATAATGTATGATGCATCCCATTCATAAAATCTGCAGGTAGCCGTCTTTATACCCACCTGCCAAGATCACCCAACAATCCTTCAGGTCGATTTTCATTCTGTTATCACAGTTCACAGAATGACAAATCTCGTTTCGTTGGAAGAGACAAATTTCATTGTTTTAATGGTATATAAAGGATCGACATCAATTAAAGCTGTAGGTATTTTTTTCCTGTTGGTTTTCGTCTTACGGCTGCGGCTGTACGACGACAAATAAAGTTTTACGATACCTGGTTGGACGTTCAGTAAATTATCTGGACACAGTGCCGTGCCAATAACGCTAATAACGTGGATACATCCAGTGCCAAAAATAAAGTGTCAACGTTCCAGAAGAATTATGATTTTGATCAACGTGTCCCGCTTCAAGTGCGACCCTCCCATATTTTGAGAGTAGAATCAACAATAATTAAAAAAATATTCTCTTCCTGGCACTAGATAATGTCAAATCAACTATTATATGAGGAATTTCGTCCACCATTATTATAAATCTGAAGGAGGAATTAGACGACTGATTAACAACAAACCACCCCTTAGAACACACCCCTAATTTTTTTTTCAAATCACATCCTGTTATTCTTGTGGCATGTGAGAATAACTTGACATAATTTTGTAGAGGAGAGGGACATTCATTTTTCAACGAGTTATTATTAGATTATGTAGCAAAGTCACTGACATACATTATATCATCTAGACTAGTAGTAGTCATATTTATCTCAGCAAACCCGAAAATCTCGGGTGAAATGCTCGCCTGAAAACGCTTCTGCTCAATACGCATGAACCCATACAATCATGACATTGATGACAGCGAGTAATGTTTCTTGTTGTTCCGAAACATGAGTAAGAGTGAGTAAGATATATGACAGGTCCTAAATACGCAGGATTCATCTTCACCAGTTCGATCTCACCTTCCTTCTTATGGAATTAGCGGTCTAGATTGTAGTGTATCGGTGAGCAAAGTCCACTGAATTACTAGAATGATACGAGGAATGATACATCTGAATCAAATAAGATGTTTGATGTGGCCTTCATTTCGCTACACAGTTCAAACCTTCGCAGAATCTCCCTTGTACAAGCTTGTGTGTTTTTGTAGCTCAGAGATATTGTTGGGATTCATACAGGGCCTGAATTCCACACATCAGATCGGGCCAATATTCCCAATCCAGTTTTCCCTAAACTGGTTATTTAGTTGTCTAGTACATCAGTCGACTGATTCTGTCTTCAGATTTTTGTTTTGTTTTCAAATGTTTGCCAAACAAATCAGTCTCAGCCATTGTTTAAAATGCACATTTTCAAAAAACTATTTGTTACTTTGGAACGATGATAGATGTCGATTCACCATTAAGTTCTATCCCAACAAAACTGTCCACTTTGTAAATAAAATTTGTTGGAACTCTGAATACAGGCATTTGAAATATAAACAAACAGAAATAGTCTCGGAAAATTTAATCAGTTTCCAAAATGAAATGATGCCTAATATAGTTTCCTGGTTCTCGTAAAGTAATTAGGGTCACATGATGACATGAAATGAAGAATCAAACTCAATTCATGGATCATCTGATGATCGTTTCATTGTAAAGGAAAGAAGAAAATTAGTCAATTGATCGTGTTTTTGTACTACCATGTCAAGTCACGTACCTACATAAAATATTTTTGAGCCACCTATGATTATTTATAATTTATTATTCATGGTGATTGAGTTGTAAAAAAA